ACAAACACACACACACACACACAAGAATACAGCCCACCTGGGGAGAACACCTCGCCGTGGTCCCAGGGCAGCGCCGCGCCCAGGAGCCAGCGCTGCGCGGGGGCCGAGGCGCGGTCGCGCGTGAACAGGTCCACGCCGGTGCGGTTGTTCAGCCAGTAGGGCACGTGCAGGGTCATGGCGCAGGGCCCCGAGGCGGGCAGCCCCGCCGCCTCCGCGTCCACCAGCGAGTTGTGCACGCCCAGGAGCAGCAGCGCGGGCGCGCGCATCTGGGCCTCCGCGGCGTCCGCCTCGCTCTGTGCGCTGCGTTCCACGGTGCGCACCGAGGGCGGACGGGGACGAATGCCCAGGCCCGCCGTCACGCGGCGCACCGTGGCGTCCGCGGCGCGCTCGCGCCACGCGGCAAAGGCGCGCGCCAGCGTCGAGCGGCGTGGCGAGGACTCCGCGGGGCGCCCCTCGGCGCCCGCCTCGGCGCCGTCGTCGTCCTCCTCGTCGGCGGCGTCGCGGCGTCCTCGGCCGGCCCGCTGCCGCCGAGGGACGACCAGCTTCCGCCACCACGGCACCGCCGGGGGCGGGCCCAGCTGCTGCTGGGCGGCCGGGGCCGAGTCGCCCGGCGCCGAAGCCCCCTCCCCCGCCTCTCCCCCCCCGCTCGCAGGCACCGGCTGCAGGCTGACCGTGCCGTGCGTGCCGTGGCCGCTCGTCCCCGCGGGCCGGGTGACCACCTGGAACCCGGTCTCGTCCCCGGCGTCCTGGGCGCCGGGGTCAAAGCGCGCCACGCGCTCGCGCAGCGGCACGTCCTCGTCCCCGGCCCTCCAGGCGGCGGCGCCGGAGCCGCCGGCGCGCGCGCCACGCGGCAGCAGCGGCAGCTTGGAGGGCGTGCCCGCGGGCCCCTCCCGCGGCGTCCCGACCTCTGTGTTGTCGGAGGGGCGGGGCGAGGGCTGGGCCGCCGTGGCGCCCCCGTCGGCGGAGTCTGCCGCGCGCAGCGCGTCCTTGCCGCCCACCCTGAACAAACTGCGCCAGGTGGACCTCTTCAGCGGCCGGGCCTTGACCCCGGGCAGCGAGGCGGCGGGGGGGGGGGTGCGCGACCCTAATGAGGGGAGGGGGCGATGCCCCTGCCCCAGGCCCCCCCGCCGGCGGCACTACAGCTGCGGTCGGCGCCGGCTGATTCCATCGGGTCGCCGGGCCGCCCGCGTCCTGGCTGAAGGGGCTGGCCGGGAGCGAGGGCGGGGGAGAGTGCGGGGACAGGGTCTCCGCGCCCTCGCTGATGGCGGGCAGGGTCTGGCCTCCCGGCCGCCGCGAATCCGGGCCGCGCTCCGGCGCCTGCACCTCCGAGCCCGCGCCGCCGTCGCCCGGGCGCCCGGGCGCCGGGCGCCCAGCGCGCCGAGCCGGCGCCTGCACCTCCACCCCCGACTCGCGCCAGAGGAAGCTGGGGCCGGTGGAGTCGACGCCGCCGGCGACCTGCTCGTCCTCCTCCTCGCCGCTCCTTCCCGCCAGACTCCCACGCCCCAGGCGCGCGCGGCGCGCGCGCTGCGAGGCCGCGCTGGCCTTCTTAGCCACGAGGGACGCTCCGCTGCGGCGCATGCGCCGCGCCATGCCGCGCATGTGCGCCACCGCACGTTCCATGTCGCGGCGGTTGAGCGCGAGACGCGCGTCGCGGGCGAGGCGCGTGTGCAGCACGTTGAGGTTCAGCGCCGCCTCCTTGAGCTTGACCAGGTACTGCCCGACGTTGTCCTCCGGCAGCACCGGCAGCGGCATCTCCATGCTGACCATGCGCAGCGGGATGTCGCGCGGCAGCCTGTGCGTGGGCGAGGAGCAGGGGAGCGTGAGGAGGAGGGCTGCAGGGATGAGCCATGCAGGCGGGTCGCTCGAGTCTGCGACCGTGGACAGAGCAGGAGGTCGACACGCGGGGCAGTCCTGCCGTGGGACCTGCGCCACGGGATGGTCCCAGCAGAGTCGAGGCCCACATGCTCCAGTCTCCTGAAGCGCCCCCTTCCACCCCTCGCGCACGAACCGACCCGGCTTGCCTCTGCGTCATGGTGGCCTCGCCCGGCTCGCCGGCTCGCCCACCCACCACAGCGCGCTGTGCCCAGGAGCACAGCGCCCATTTCGTGCTGCGCATGCCGATCTCCTCCACCGCAATGTGCAGCAGCACAGTCTGGCGCAGGTCGACGTACACGCCCCGCGACCCGCCGGCGGGGATGGCGTAGCAGAAGTAGCGCCCCCGGCTGCCGCCCCCGGCCATGCTCAGGCCCAGGCGCGGGGTGAAGGTGTCGGACTCGATGCGGGGCCGTCTGGATCGCGAGGCAGCACCCTAGGTTGTGGGTGGGAGGGGTTGGGGGGGGGGGGGGAGGGGTGGCAGCGGCTGAGGGGCGGGGTCCAGCTTCTGAACATTCCCATTGGCCCCCCCTCACCTCCCGCAGGTGGACGGCACAATACCCTGTTCACAGCCAGCCACAGTCCCCCGCACTCCCCCACATCCCCTTCAAGACGCCACACATGAACACTTCCCCCTGAATCCCCCCAGCCTCACCATGGCGTCCTTGCCGTGCGACACCGTGATCTCCTGCTCACGAGTGATGGGGATTTCCACGTGCGGCGTGCCCCCGGACTCCCCCTCCACGTCGGACCAGGGCATGCCGGAGGCCCCATCCTGCAGGCATGGTACGGGGGTATCAGGGGGGGTGGCATGATCACACTCCTTTTCTCACAAGGCAGGTGGCACAATGAAGAGCTCGGCTTTCAGTCCAGCCACGCCACAGAGAGCCGTGGGCCGGAGCGCGCGGCAGCCACGACCTCCTTTCACTGGCAACAGCCCATGGGCCCATGCTCCAATGCACAGACACCCCTCTCCCCCTCGCCTCCGACTCACCCCCTCCCCTGCTGCGGCGCGCGGGGATGCATAGCCCCGTCCCATGCTGGTGGCCCCCGGCTGGGAGTTGACCTGCCACAGCAGGACGCGCATCTCGTAGGGCAGCGCGTTGCGCAGTAGGAGCGGCGGCTTGACGCACAGCGTGATCTCCAGTGGGGAGGAGGCGCGTTGGATCATGCCCGGTGCCGTGCACTCCATATGCTTGAACGCCTGGAACTCCGACACGAGCTGCGGTTGAGGAGAAGGACGAGGTTGGGGGCGCACATGGGTGCGGGGTGTTTTCATGCTGCAGTGTATATTTGGAGGGGTCTCCTTCAGCAGGGTCCAGCAATGTGGATTGCAACTCCAACACCGCAGAGTCCATTTGCCATGACCATGCGGCACTTTCCTAAGCCACGCTCCCCCCTGTCATGTTCAAACCCCCTCACCCCCCCAAACTAAAACACAACACACATGCACACTCGGCTTACCCTGGCCGGCGTGGTCTGCAAGGCGACGTGGAGCGGGAACTCCTCCTCCCCTGCAGGGTCGGGGTCGCAGGAGATGTAGCCCTGCTGCGCCAGCACCGCGCCCAGATCGGCGCTGAGGCGCACCACATCGCGTGCGGCCTCGCAGAACCCCTCCGGCGCGAGGAAGAGCAGGCCGCCCAGCACCGAGGTCAGGGGCAGGTAGCAGCCGGCGCCGGGGCGCAGCGGGCCAACGGCGAGGTCGGCAGAGGCAGCGTCGCGCGCCTCGCGAGCGTCGCGCGCGCCCGCGCCCGGCGGGACCAGCGGCGTGGTGGGGGTGTGCAGCCGCAGCGACAGCGGGCGGTCGATGCTGTTCTCCACCCAGATCGAGGAGTGGAGGGTGATGACCTTGGTGCGGCCGACCAGGATGATGTCCACCAGCACGGGCACGGTGGTGCCATCGGCGGGGGAGGCCATGCGGTAGCGGTACTTGCCCACCACGTTGACCGCCACGTCGCGCAGCGGCATCCAGTTGCCCTCGAAGTGGAGGTGCAGCGTGGCGCCGACGCGCTCGCTGCCGGCGCCGCCGCCGCCGCGCACGTTGTGCGCGAAGTGCAGGCGCTTGGGCGCCGGGAGAACGCGCAGGTTCTCGCTGCCGCCGTTGGGCAGGGAGAAGACGGGCGAGCGCACGCCGCCGCGTGGGCCGTCGGCCCAGTAGTACACGCGCAGCCCGCTCTGGTTCTGGATCAGGTACTTCTGGGGCGCCAGCGACATGATGGCCGCCGGGCCGCTGCCGGCGGGAGGGGTGGCGCGGGCGGGGGCCGCCGCCGCGGCCGCGGGCGGCGGCCGGGGGCGCGCGGCGCGGGCCTCCTGCCGCGGGTCGACGTCCTTGTGATGGAGTGGGTGGGCCGGCATCGGCGCTGGGCTGCCAGACTCCCAGTCTGTAGGGGGACGGGGGGCCCGGGACGGGGGGTGAGCGTGTGTGTTGTCGTTGCAATAGGAGGAGGGCGCATGGAGGGTTGGCAGGGCTGGGTCCCTGGCCCTCCATCGCAGACGGCGCGACGTGGCACGGTGTAGAGTGTGCACCGGTGAGGCCTGGGTGCAGGGCACTCTTACCCTCAAGCCCCGCTACGACCGCCTCCCCCCCCATCCCCCCTTCACCGACCACCTGCACCCCCTGCAGCACGCCACTCCCTGGCTCCCTGGCTCCAAAACCCCTCCCCGGCCCCCCCAACACCCCGCTCCGCCCAAGTCGCGGCTCACCCTCCGGCTCCGGCTCGGGCCTGAGGAGCGTATTGTAAAACGCCAGCGCGTCGCCAAAAGACATGAGGCTGGCGGGGTTGAAGGCCGCGTCCAGGTGCTGGTCGGAGGTGACCCAGAGGTTGGTGCGGCGGTCGGAGAGGTAGAGCGGGGACACGACGTCCACCACCTCCAGGCGCAGCGGCCAGGGCTCGTACACCGCCTCCCAGCGCGAGGTGGAGGAGTTGAGGAAGGCGGCGGAGGAGCTGAGGGACAGCTGCCCCGCCTTGTTGGGCGGGCGGTCTGGCAGGACCAGGGCCGTGTCGTACCCGGCCTCAACCTCGCTCACCCCCGCCAGCAGCACGTCCGGCGCGCCAAACGTCTCCGGCTTGTCGTTGCACAGCACCGCGGTCAGCGACGCCGCGCGCGCGCTGATCTGCAGGCTGTAGGGCCGGAAAGGCGCGGCCGCGCGCCGCGGCGAGGCCGGCGCGCCGAGCGCCGCCGCCGCCGAGGGCGCGGGCGCCACGAAGGCGCCCGGCTCGGCGCCGCTCGCCTGCGCCGCGTCCAGCGAGGACGGTGCCCCCGGGGAGCCCGGCCCGGCGCCTGCGCCGCCCGCGACCAGGCGCAGTGCGGCGGCGGCGGCACGCCAGAAGGGGATGTGGGAGAAGGCGGCGCGCACGGTGAGCGCGCCCGCCTCCACGCTCACCGCCGTCAGCGTGGTGGTGCGCAGGCGCTGCAGGTACACCATCTCCTTGTGCTCCGCGCTGGCGCGCTTGTAGCCCTGCAGCAGCGCGCGAGTGCGCGGCGTCGCCACGTCCAGGATCAGCTCGTCCACCACGTGCCAGGGCGTGACCGCGGCGTCGGGCGAGTCCGCGACGGCGTCGGGGTTGCCGGCGCCGGCGCCCGACCTCGGGCTGGGCGGGGGGAAGCCCAGGGCCTCGCCCTCGCTCTCCATGCTGAAGGAGGTGGGCAGCGAGGCGGCGGGGCTGGAGGTCCCCGAGCCGAACGCGCCGGCCAGGCGCGCGTCGCGCCGCCTCCTGGCCCGGTGTGCGAGCCAGTGCGCCTGGATGGTGGCCGCGGCGCGGTGCAGGCGGTCCACCTCCTCCTGCTCCGCCACCTGGGGAGCCACCTGGTCGCAGGTGGCGGTGCCGGAGAAGGGGAGCAGCACGGTGTGCACGCGCGCGCACGGGTCTCGCACGTGCGCGGAGAAGTCGCGCAGGTCGGCGCGCAGGCAGGACTCGCCGTCGCCACCGGCGGCGTGGCCCAGCCGCGCCGCGCCGGCCGCCAGCAGCACGCCGCGCGCCTCCAGGGGCAGCGCCCCGGCCTCCGCGCCCTCGTCCAGCGAGGCCAGCAGCACCGAGGCCAGGGCCAGGTCGCCCACGGCGTGGAAGCGCGAGGTGGGCTCCCCTGCGTCCCACAGCGCGGCCGCCATCTCCCGCGCCCGCTCCACGTCGTAGACGGGGAGGAACACCTCCACCTCCGCCAGCACGGCGTTGAAGTAGGTCCAGGGCCGCGGCTCCGCCGCCGGCTTGGTGCTCGCGGAGGGGGACGCGGGCGCCGGCCGGGCCGCCGCGGCCTCGCCGCCGCGGCCCTCGGCCCAGGGCGCGCCGAAGAGGCCGGTCAACGTGTTCACCAGGCTCTGGTCGTCAAAGTAGGGCCATGAGACCAGGCAGTTGCTCAGCGCCACCTCCACCGCCTGCGTCGAGTCGGCCAGCAGCGCGTACGACACCTCCAGCTTCACCCGCGGGTTGCTGCCCTCCGGCACCTTGCCAGGGCCCAGCAGCCTGTGTGTGTGGGGGGGAGTGGGGGGGGTTCCGGGAGGACGGGAGGGGCTGGGGGAGTGTATCATTGATACGGAGCGGCATGCGATGGAAAACAGATATCCTGAGGCCACGGGTGGGAGTGCCGGGAGGCGCGCCAGCGCGGTGCAGACAGAGGAGAACCCAGCCGGGAGCGGACATGCCAAAGCAGAGCGCATTCTGGCTGCTGTGCTC